CATGTGCGTGCCTTTCGAGGATTTTTATTAGATGCAACGTTATTTATGAAAATCATATTTCATTGATAATTTAAAGAAAAACTTATTTGATATATAAATTTTTATCTCCAAGATAAAAGTTCTAATAAGATAAGGAGTTCAACTTTTTAAGTTGTTTCAGTGATGAATTCTTCCAATATATAAGAGCAAATAAGCTGTGGTGACACTATAATTTGATAACGCATGTAATTCTTTGCCATTTCTCATATGATCTTCTCTATTTTGAGGCTGGCATTCTATATATTAATCTTATAAATAATGATCTAGATACCCTTGGCGAATTAGACATTCAATCTCTTCTTTCAACTAAAAATATTTTTATGTTGAATGTCCTCTTTAATGTTGGAAGTGATAATGTTGAAATTGATCTCTATCATTTGAATTTTTTAAATATTTTGTTGCTTTAGGTGTTCAAAATTTTAAATCTTCATTATAATATTAACCTTGAACTATATCTTTTACTTCTTTGATCTCTTTGCTTGGTTAACTTATACATATATCTTTCATCATCTATAGTAGCTAATTTATTATATAAATCAGTAAAATTTAAATTCTTTATATTACATATTGATTTCTTAGAATCTATACAGGCACCTTTATATATTTTCAAGATTTTTGAGCTTTTACATGTAACCCAATTTTTATAATAAAAAATCTTATTTTGATTTTTTCTTGCACATTTTGATTTTACCACAAACTATTTTTATTATTATGAACTTTAACCTTTGATTCTCCACACATACACTTTGCAACATTCTTAATATCACTGACAACTTTTTTTAGTAACACTACCTTCCTTATGAACAAGTCAAATCTTAAGATATTGAAACTTAGTCTTGAAAATATTATTATTATTATTATTATTATTTAAATATCCTCATCTAATGCTAAGACAATATTTTAATTTATTTTACATTTTACACGCCTTCATCTTAAAATACAAAACTAATAAACAATATTGGGTAAATAAATCTTCACTCAAAATAATTTTACAATCAATTTTTCTTATAGGAAAATAATTAATCTGAGTTTTACTATGGCCATTCTTATAAGTGATGAGATGCTCCACTCTTTTTTTAGATAAAATATTAACAATTACAAAATCATAAGTTAGATCAAAATCAAATATATCCTACTACCTTCATTAGTCACTCAAAATTCATAGCTACAATGGATGCTTTTAAAATCTTCTAACACTGCCAACAAGTTCATTTAAATCTTCAAGAATAGAAATTCTTTCTTGAACAAATATCCTTTAAATTAATTCTTCTAAATTATTTCAGAATTTATTTTTAAACACATATCCAAATCTATTTGAGGACCATAAACACTCATAATATTAATAATTTTAGCATCAACAATAATCTTTAATACTATAATTCTATCTCTAATTATATTAATTTCAACAATATTATTGATGGGAACATCAGATCGTGGAAGGTTTATCAAAGGCGTGGCCGCCGATCTACGACCACGATCGAGTCATTGTACTTTTGATTCATGTTATGTTTATTTATGTATTTGTTTTTATTTTATTTCCTGTTGTACCCTTCTAGTAAAGGGATGTCGTATGTAAGCCCCGAGGGCATATTTGTCTTTTATTTTGAGTCTCTTGTACTAGACTATTTATAGCCCCTTATTGTTTTGATTAATGAATGATTGATTACAAAATTTCTTCCCTGCATGAGTTCTTGTGAGAGCTTGAGAGTTTTAATGGAGAGAAATCCCTAGAAGAGGGAGATTTGCACAATACCCACCAACCTAGATAAGTCGGGTTCGTGGTTCCATCCTTTATCTCCTTTTCCCATCCTCCATCTTCACTTAGCCGTCGGCTTCCCACCTCACCCGAGCCACTCCTCCCCTTTCAACCCCACGGCCAAACACCACCTAGCAGCCCCACTCCCACTCATCCAGAATCGGTGGCCACATCCCATAGCCACCGTCCCCCTTTGGTTTCCCACCCCCATTCCCTTATTTCCTAATATGGATTGAATATAGTTGGGATTAAATTTGAATTCAAACTCAAGAGATTTGAAATTCAAAATATTTCATAATATATAAAATCTATTTTAGGAAAGTCTTTAAAATTTAATCAAATCAATTTATAATTGATTGGGATTTAAAATTGCCTTTCATAATTTATAAATCCCAAACTAGTAGGCAATAAACAATTGCCCCAAATGCTCTCCCCCATTATTGTCGCCGGCCCCCTCCCCCCTTGGCTTGGGTTAGGAAATATTTCCTAAAACCCCATCCTTGCTTTAGGCAATAATTCCAAATCTCCCTAACTTCTCTCTTGGCCGAAATTCCCTCTTCCCCTCTACTTAATTTCTTCCCAAAAGAAGATCTCTCTTTTGGAAACAAATTAAATCCCCACCTCCTCTACTAAGCCGCCGGCCCCTCTCTCCCTCCCGCCCCTCTCTCTCTCTCCAATCCATCTCTCCCTCATTAACTCTCTCCCGGAATTTAGGATTTGATAATTTCTATCCTAAACCCCTCTCCTCTCTTTACAAAATCTGAAACTTATTTCAAATTTTCGTGTTTGGCTCTTCCCTCCAAGTGGTAAGAGAACTTCTTCCTCTCCGACAATATTCAAGTGCACCATCAAATTGTGAGTTTTGCTACCAAGTATCTATGAATGGCGGATCCGGAGACTGAATACGGCCTAACCTACGACGAAGACGGGTTCGTAGACATTCTCCAATCCACTTTCTTTATCGTTAATACAATGGTCGACACATTGTCGAAGATTACATCGAGCGCATCCTGGACACTTTGGTGGAAGCCATCGAAGAGCAGTTTGAAGACATTGAGTGGAGGATCTCCACCGATCTTTGACACAAGGTTCTACTTTCTCCTTTCAACATATTTCCTGAATCTAAAATTATTTTGTGTTTGATTGTAGTCACGAAGGAAGACTCCTACTGCTTCTGCTAAGCTTAATAAACGTAGGATTTTGAACGTATTCATGTGCTTACTAATCTCACTGTTAGACTAAGAATTTTTATTGAAACTACTACTTGGCATAATGTTGTTTTCTATTTCATTTTGAAAGTTCAAACTCTGGGTATGTGATTTAGCCTAAGCGGGTGTGACCACTGGTTTGTTTTATTTCGTTGTTTAAGCTGCTAATAGTTTCTTCATTTTTATTCTAATTAAGAGTTGTGTAAATTCCTATCAAACTGATTGCATTCATACGTAGTCCTGCATCAATTATCCTTCAAACTCTCATTGATAATTACAACTACATCATTTATAGTACGATACATCATTTATAGTACGACTTTTATCAGAATACCAAAATTTAAATGTTAAACTATCAATCTCTATAGCCTTTTCCGCATCCTATTTAGTAGGGCTGCAAGCGAACCAAACGTTCGGCGAGCTACTCGTTGTTCGGTTCGATTAAAGCTCATTTGTGATCGTTTAATTAACTAAACAAACAAACTTGAACAATATTTTAAATAATCGATTCTTAAATAAACAAACTTGAACACTAATGCTTTCGGCTCATTTATGTTCGCGAACAACATCATTTGAAGTTCGTGAACAAGCTCGACATTAAGCTCGATAAGAAGCTCAATAAAAGCTCGATTCATGTTTGATTTTGAACTCGTGAATAAGCTCGATAAAAATAATTAATATTTGACTATAGAATTAATAAATATAAATAATCATTACCTTTGTTACATAGACAATTGCTTTTATTATAAATGTATTTGTTCATAGATATGTTCATGAACGTGATTGTTTGATAGTTAAAAAAATTCTTTAAATATGTTCGCGAACAAGCTCGATAAACACTAAACAAACGAACATGAACTAAACATGAACCGAACATGAACACTCCTTAATTTAAATGAACCAAACATGAACACAAACGCTAAAGCTTGAACAAACATGAACCAAACTTGAACAAGCTGATATTAAATGAGCACAAACATGAACACTCACATACTCGGCTCGGCTCGGTTCGTTTGCATCCCTACTATTTAGTTTCCTGAATACATAAAATATTTATCTTCTTATGAATAATAATAGCTATTAATTCTATTAAATTGCCTGTAAAGGTGCATATATTCCAATTTCCTATTCAAATTCTAATTTCACAGACTAACTTATTTGCCCACATCATTCATCAGCTCCTGGAACAGTCCAAAAATCGAAGGCCACGCTACAGTTCTGGAAAGAAAGGAGCTGAAGGTTAGCTACAATCTCAATAAGCAAGGAAACGAAGGCCTCCTCCCCACTCCACCTCCCCCTTTCCTTGCTTTTATTCTCACCTTCTGCCTCTAAGTGATTAACTGAAAGATAGAGTAATTTCTGAAATATAAGAGTAGTTTGGAATATAAATTGCAGCATTAACTTCAAGTTTCAAGGAACGTTGCAATGTTCATTACTTCCACATAGTCTATGCTATGAGATCAAATATTTATAAGTTCTAGATGGGATTAACTCAATGGCACTTTCGAGAAGCAAAACTCTGAAAACTTCTTTTTTGGTAGTTCCTCGGGAACAGAAACTTCATGTTCAACGCATGCTAAAAGCAAACTCATTCTAAGCTTCCATCCTATTATTTCTTTGTTTTTACCATCCACTTCTCGCTTACACATTATCCACCTTCTAATCTTGCCTGAGTTGCGAATGTATAATTTTATTAAATATCAATTTTGGTGTAAACTCCATAAAAGAAATAAATAATCAAATTTGAATGGGACTTTAAAGCTCAATAAAAAATAAATAAATGTACTTGAATAGGTTAATACTCAGCATGGCTTATTTATACCCCAGCGACTCTGAAACAGAAGCATGATTGACCATTTTTCATAACCAACTAAGAAAATCTTGGGCTGGAGAAAATTGGCAATAGCACGCATAACAATGGAAAGAGAAAAAAAAATAATAAGACAAGGGGAAAAGCCACTTACTGTCCTTACGATTCTAGGGAGCATATACAATACCTTTTTCCTTCCGTAATAGCATCAATGCAGCCGACCGACATTCAGAGAAGTTGCCAAATGCATGAGGAAGTCTATCATAATCTATTTTAGCATTGAGTGCATCAGCAGAGACCTTTAGCTGCTCCAAATTATATAGATATCCTTTCGGGGTACAAGGATCAATATATACACCCTCAAGGAGAGCTTCTGCAGCTGCATGGAGGAACAATGTTCATTGCTACTCATTTTAAAGCATATGTGACAAAATAAGCAAACATTCCCACTGAGTATGAAAATATACATTTTTTTACAGAAAGGTTTGAGGTAATAAGCAGCAATAAAATTTCTTAGGGATTAATCATTTTGTATTCTAGCAAAAGGATCTCAGCACAATCATCAAAAAAGGGATAGTTTTGCAAATTTTAAACTCAAATATACAGATCAAGTTGATCTCGCTGATATGTGAAAAATGTAAGGATTAAAAAGACAAAGTACATCGCATGTCAAGCACGTTACAATAGGCTGTCTAACAAAAAAAGCCAAACTGAGTTCCCAAGCATAGATATAGAAAAGTAAGAATCCAATCATAGAAAACCGCAACCATTTTACAGCCGCTAGAATATTTTGCTGCAGAATCATTAGTATATTTTAGGAATGATTACAGGCATAAAACACAATGATATTCCATCACATTATGCAAGTTTCATGATAACGATAATATTAAAGAATCCAACCGTAAACAATCTTTTACCCAAAATTTTCTATAATATGTTAGGACTTGAACAATAAAATCAGCGAACAAACAATAAATTTCAGAAACCAAACAAATTTTCTTGGTAAGAAAGCAAACACGAACAAGCAAGATACAATGGTCCTCTTTTGTAAAAATAATTCCAAATGACATTAGAAAGCTTCTTATAGAAGTTAATTTATTTTTGAAAAAAAAAATTTCAAGTTCCAAAAATTAGGATTTTTCCTAATCATGAAATTTTTTAAGTGTTATGGTTTCAAATAGACTTAGGAAGGATTTTGAAGGTGAGAATTAGGGTTTTTGCACAAAATTTCATTTTTTATAATTTTAATTTAAATAAATCCGAAAATTTCCTGTATTTTAATTAATAAGTAAGTGTATGGTACGTTTTTACATGCATAAATTATGAAATTAACAAAAAAAAGTTTCCAAAAATTAGGGTTTTGAGGAAATCCGAAATTAGAAAGTAAATTTAATTAATTTTGAAATGGTAAAGGGTTCATTTAGGAAATTTAAGAAAACATAGGTGTAGGTTCTTATGACTTAGGAATTAATGAAGTTTATGTGATGGAAACATGTGACATTAAGTGTTATGTTATGTTATATTTTTTTTAAGATATTGGAAGTGGTAGAGAAAAGATTTTGATAGGGCAAACGGCAAATTGCACACAGCGGTGATGTATGTAAAATGTAGTTCTTTTAAATTCGAAAAATCATTCTCTTTCCAAATGATAGCATGTTCTTATAATATCATGTGGTTAGCCTAGCTTTTAAATGCAATTGTACCTTTCTTATATAGCTTAGCATATTTTTAAATGTCTTGTATCTTGCTCTTGTGAATAGCCTAGTATACCTTTTTGAATACATAATGCAAATGTGTCTTTCTCACGTTATAATTGTAGATAATACAAAGCTCATGTCTCCTTTCTTATGTAATTATGTAGAAAAATATAGGAACATTAGAACATACACATGAATGACGTGTTAAAATCCCTTTATGAACAAATATAGAATGATTTAATGTGTGCGTTTTGATGCGGAGTATCAATGGTAAAGGGGCTCTTCGGAACCAATGGTAAAAGGGCAAATGATAAATGAATGGTCAATTAAAAGTGTACATGATTAGTACAAAACAAAATGATACTTCCGTGACTGGTGAATAAGATTATGTTACTATGTTATTATGTTATTATGTTATAAATATAAGAAGCATCAAATGAATCATGAATATATAATGAAAAAGGTTGCAAGCTTATGCAAAGAAAGAGAACATATAAGATGACTTATAAGCATGTGTACTATAGTTAATATATCATGGCATGTTGATTTTTCCTTCACTTAAAAGTATTGACATACATGTTGTATTCTTTCCCTTTGCTTCTGAATTTAATTGAATAGCATTTTACCTACTAATTTTACCTACTAAGTTGTGACTCACCCAACTTATAGAATATTTTCAGAACCTGTTAAGCATTAATGAAGGATAGACAATCATATACTTATCATCGTAGGGAGACGACGGGTGATAGGTTCATTTTTGATATTTTTTTATTTTTTGTATTAGATGGATGCAGGATAGTATGTGACAGGTAGATTTTTGAGATTCATCTATGTAATGAACTTTTATGTATATGTAGATATTTTTGAATGAAAGAGAAAAAAAAATTTACTTGAAATCATGTTGTTTGAAATGTTTTAAATTTTACCGTCTGACTTTTATTCCTGCCTCGCCTATGCGAACTTACCGGGTCGGGTCGTGACAAGGTGAAGCAATGATGCATCTCATATCATTCAAGGAAAATTCTCAATCAAAGTGTCCTTGAAATTGTTAATCTCATCATCAAATTCATGCATCTAATTTTCCTCATTAATTTCATAATCATCGTCCTCCACATTGATATGCAAATTTGTACTAGAACATTTATTATCATAATGATCCATTTAATAACATATAAAATATGTTGTGATAGAAATTTTGAACTATATGCAATAGTTGTACTTTTTGTTTGGTGTCTTTATTAGCAATAGTGCAACTACTATTAGATGCAACAAATGAAGAGGAATTTGGCTATCATGACAAAAGATGCGCTTCCATTAAATTTTGTACTTTGTTCAGACACATGAATTTACCATTTGCTCAAAGTCTTATGCAAGTTAAAAAGCATTCTCGCTCTTGATATTAGTTCTCAATCCATATATAAATCTAGAAAGTGTGATTTTAGTATCATCGATGATTCATAACATAGTAGTAATTCTTCAAATTTCATCATGTACTCAGTTATAATTTTTCCCTTATTTTAATGAATTAAATTCATTAAATATTCGATTACGATAGGAGAAAATAAATAATTTTCTTTAGCAATTCTTTCATTTCACCCCAAACAGTCATAGAGTCATTCCCTAATATGTCGCTTCATTTCTTCATAATCATCCAATAGAATTTTGCTTGCCCAATTAATTTCAACTTTGCAAATCTCACTAGATGCTCGTGTAGTATTGTTTGTTCTTCAAAAAAATTATTCATCTTCATTACCCAATCATCGAAAGCCTTGGGAAATATTTTTCCCATCAAAGTTAGACACTTTTACAGTTACATTATCATCCACATGAAAATTTTAACGTCTATGAGCCTATAATTTTATAAAGAGAAAATGACCAAAATGGTCCATCAACTCTTTGTAAGGGACCAAAATAATTCCCAACCCTTTGAGGGACCAATTTGGTCCTTCAACTCTTTAAAATAGGATCATTTTGATCATAACATTCAATGTTGGAGTTAATAGTATTAAATATAAGGGTATTTTGGTCATTTTTTAATTAAATAATTATTAAATATAATTTTCAAGTAACTGTAATTTTTCTAAAAAAAAAATTATTAAATGTTTCTTTAATAAAAATATATAGTAATTTTAGTTTTTATTTCAAAATTTTAATCATATTTTATAAAATATGATTTTATTGATTTAGAGAAATCAAATGCAATTAGATGTTATTTTCAACTTAGCCACACATATTTTTACCCATCATACTTCATAAAATATGACTAAATTTTTTTAAATTAAAACTAAAATTATTATTAATTTTGTTATCAAAGAAACATTTAATAATTTTTACTTGAAAATTATATTTAATAAATGTGTAATTAAAAATGACTAAAATATACTTACATTTAACACCATTAACTTTAAAATTAGATGTTAGGACTAAAAATGCCACATTTTAAAGAGTTTGAGGGATCAAATTGATCCTTCAAAAGAGATGGGGACTATTTTGATCCTTTTCTTTTTTCATAAACTTCACTAACATACATCCTCTCGATCTCGATTATCCTTCTATAATGAGTTTCTTATATCTTAATCATGTTACCATTCAAGTGAATGGGTTCATCAGTATGATTAGATTCAACTTTAGATTCATGTGCATCAAAATTGATTGGTTTCCGTTTTTTTGTTAATTTGCTCCATAACTTGATTTATATCCTCACTCATTTGACTTTATTTGATCAAAAATTGAACAGGCTATTAACAAATTAGAGAATCTTTTTAATTAATTTACAAATTCGCATATCAACAAAACCTTACTCTTATACCAATTTGATGGAAATCATCTAGGATCTAGGATTCCTAATGCAATTAAGTATTATAATGCATGAAATTTAAGCAGTGAAGATTTAAATTTCACAAATTTAAAAATTTAAAGATCATCAATTAAAACAACCACTACTTTCCTTTTGATGCAAACCAAAAACAAAACAATCCTTTTCAAATGATAAATTAATGATTGTAAAAATAAATATTTGGTGAAACATTGGAAGCCACAAAAAAAAAATTGACATAGCTTGATTATGCTTCACACCGCAATGACTAAAATCAATCACATTTGCAAAGACTCATATCAAATTATATAGATGAAAAAAAATAAGGTAAGAAAACACTAAACAAAAATTCAAGATGACTTCACCTAAAATTTAATAATCACTATTAATACAACTCTTGAAAAACTCAACATCCAATAGGCATACAAGTTTGTGAGCAAATAAGAAATTTCATTCATCAAAATCAATTATTTCTATAGGCTTATGAAAGAAACATACATATGGCAAGGGCTCGGTAATATTAATAGACAAGTTTGGCACGACAAATATCATAATATAACTATAAGGATTGCACTTCACAGAAACCCACAAAGAACTACAGCTACATGAAAATCCTGCAACAATCTCCAATAACACTACTGATCACACAATGGGATTGCCTGTATGTGGAAAGGGAAACTAACAAAATTTTCTTAATAAACTGGTATAATCAACCTAACAGACCAAAAAAACAAGCCCAACAAATCAACATAATCATCCTACCAAAACATTGTTCTGAACCGAACCATATTTACTAAACAGAATTGGCATATCCTTAACAGTGAATCAATCTAAGGATACAACCCAACCTCATGGGAATCATCATAATAGGCATAAGCTATGAAATAAATTAAAACTAATAAATAAACAAAAAACAACTCAAACAACCCAAAATAAAATTTGTCAAGCTCATCAACTTGCTCACCTCAACATTTAAGACAAATACACAACCTAAGATGTGAATCATTTCCCCCAATCACAAGATGCTTGGTTGCAAACTTCAGATTTAACTATACCACCATGACTAGAATTGTTGGAGGGGTACAATAGCCTATCATAAACTCTTTTGCTGACATAAATTCCAACATTAAACTAAAAAAACATGCAGTATTTGCCAACAGAAGGCATGTTATGGAAAGACAACAAATTCCCACGAAGATGCATTAGAATATCAACCACCATTGAGATTACTATGCATTTGCAGGTTTGAGATATCAATTTTTCAAAAAGTAATTGTTGTACGACTTCTTTAATGAGACTTCTATGGGGTTAAAGTCTTAAACTAGAAGATAAAATTCTACATGGCAGCATAAATTAAGAATCTTAAATCAGCACGTCTGCATGAGGTAACTTTTACCTATATTGATGATATTACAATAAAAAAGAGCACAACACATAACCATGCTTATGCAATTGCCAGTTTGTGGTGAGCTGCTTTTTTACAGTGGCGAAAAAAGTTTTTCATTCATTATATCTTTCTTCCGGTTTTTAAACAGCTCGTTTTTTTTAAAGAATAGAAAACAAGTTTTTTATTAATAACAAGATGAGCATCAAGCCAATTACAGAGTTTTTGTAACAAAGCCATATATAGATTTAAATCCACATGGGAAGCCAGAAAAATCCTTAATATATCAGCTGTCATACTAAACCCAAATAACATATAAAAACCCCTATATACACCACCCACCCAAATTTTTAATGCATTCATCCACTAAAATTAGCCTTGTTTTGAGTGCATCATCTTGCAGAGTATTGCTTTACAAGATATACTTCAACAAAGAACCTACAAGATATCATGCTTATATATTTGAGATTCAACTCCATCATTGGCATAATAAGAAAACAATCGAAAGTTTAAAATGCAAGGGATTTTTTCACCATTGACACACCTGCAAAAAAAATTTCGGTTAAAAGCAGTGCACTCATTGAAGTTATTACCCAAAAAATAGGATAACAGAGAAGGAAGACGAAATCTACTACAAACAAATTACAAGAATACAAATAACAATTAAAAGAACAATACCACTTTGTTTTGCATTAAATGCTTGGAATACAATGATCTAATTTTGAAAGCAAGTATAACATTTTGCATATATGTTTGGAGAAGGCATCTAAGAATCGAGCTATTTATTTTAAGAAGAATAAAAGAAATGACTTCCCAATCTAAAATTGCCCTATACAAATCAATAGAAGTGACAATGCCACTAAAATCATGGAATTCCATTACTAGAATTTTTTTTTTTTAAAACTCAAAAGTTACCCAACCAGTCCATTAGACACAAGCAAACCTTAAATTAGAAGACTGGAAAAGAAATAAAGCACATCATGAGTCGCTGATTTTAGACGTAGGGAAAAAATGATGGAAATTCATTCTTTTGCTGGTTTTGCTAAATAAAATATGTTCCCTTTTGTTAAACGAAATAGTGATGAAGTCACCAAAGATTCTTTTAACAAGAAAACTTACATGCTTTAAAGTCTCTTGAACTAAGCAGTCGGTGCAAATATTCATACGCCATGTTCTGGAAAATTCCCCAGTTAGATGAAAATGCAGTATGAAACTTCAAAACAATGTATGACATTATTTCCTCCAAAATCAGCAAATAATACTTGACAGCTCTCAAAGAAACTAATACTTGGTATTGATTTCAATATACATGCATTTCATATGCCAAAAAAAAAAGTACAATGTTTTATCAAAATAAAATTTACAAAGGGCATACTGCAAGATGTCATAGATGTTAAGGGGTGATTGATACAAGTACATATTTTCGCCATTGTTCCACGTCGGTTCCATACATTAGAAATCTCATGAAGACCCTTCCACTGATTGTGCCATTAATTGAGGGAAAAATGTTTTAACAATAAGAATATATTACTTGTTTCCATCTCTTGCATGATATCTCGCTCTAAGACCCCCAACTCCCTCTACTATAAGATGTTTTAGAGACTAGGATTTCCTTATATATATATATATATATATATACAATGGGATCCATAAAATAATGCATATGTTCAAATTTCAATTTCAAAAACCCTTAATTTAGACACTTATTCGCTCCATTAGATGAACAAGAAATATAAAAAATCTACTCAGATAAAAATTTAACAACAATCACTTAGTAATTGCATAAGGAAATTTAGGAGCATAAAAAACTACACATTCGATTGAACTCACACCACAAGATGCAAATCAGATTACACAATTACCACTAGAATTAGAAAATAGGAAAAAAAAAAATCTAAACATCAAGCCAATACATGATAAACTCCCTTGAAATTCTTTAAATTCCAAAGCACGAGGAAAATGCAAGACTTGCATCAAACTACTTCACATAAGTTCCGATTTGCAAACCCGGTATAGTTCATCAAATATATACTTCATCTAAGCTCCAATTAACAAGCATAAGTAAATTCAATAATATTGTGTACTCTCTCTCTCTCTCTCTTTATATATATATATATATATATATTGCATGCATATTCTTCTTAGCATCCTTACGAGCACTTTATATATTTTTCAATTATCAGAATTTTTAAAATAAACAATTTTTATAACAAAGCTTCTTATTTTTAATTTTTTCTTCACATTAGAATTCACCACCAACTATTTTTACTATTAGGACTCTTTCCTTTGATACTCAAGGACATCTTTTGCAATATTCTTAATATCACTAGACTTTTTCCCACATAATATTAGCATCCTCATGCACAAAC